AGGGAGCAGGCACCATTCGCAGGCTGCCATAAGCGAGCGGGGTTTAGGGTGCAGGCGTTGCCTCGCTGGCGAGCTGCTTATTGAGGAGCTGTCGCGCTCTGTGTCTTTACCCCTCTTCCAAAACATGCTGCGCCGCCTGCCAGAAAAGCTGGCGGGCCTGGGAGGGAGACCGCGTCAGTCTGAAGCGATTTATTTCCATGCTGGTGAAGCGGGCCTGGGCAGCAAGCTGTGCAGGCAGAGGGGAAGCTAACCTTGCTTCAAGCCGGTGCGTGAATGTCACGCTCCTCGGGCTTCACGTGAACAGACAAACTACAGGGCTTAACGTCGGAATATCCTCTGGAGACATAACGATTTGCGGGTGCCAAGGAAGGGTTAAAGGGAAGTCTAGGCTACTTTGCGCCCGAAGTCGCCGCCGCACTTAAAACGATCTCCTTATTGCAGTCAGGCAGCCGGCAACTTGCAGGGTTGCGACACCTACGCCTGCTTCACGTTTAAAGCCAGCAGTAACGCGATGGCCTTTGCTTTCCGTCAGGAGGATTTCGGGAAATAGGAGCGGTAACCGCCTCCGTCCGTGGTTGGCTCTGAGGCTGTGAATCTTCTGGCCCAGAAGAAGGACTGGCGAGTCCCCGTGGCTGGCAAGGGCAGTGCCGCTGACAGAGGGTGGGCCCAGTGTTCTGGGTTCGCTTCTTGCCCCAGCTATCTTAACTGCCATCCCATAGTTTATTCTAGACCTTCGGGGTTTTCTGGGTGGCCGAGGAATGCAGCCTTTTCCCCCTTGCCCTCCTGATTCGGAGCCTTCCCATGCAAGGCCTACTTGATATCTCTTAAGCGAGTTTTTCTTTTAGGAAGGGTTGGTCTTGGCTACTTCCAGCCATTCAGTATTGTAAGGTTAGCTGGAAAAGAGTTGTGATCTTTAGGTCATACAAAGGGGTTGATTTTGCGGGATTTAATTCCTGACTCTCTTGCAGCTTCTGAGGAGAGATGTCCTCCAGCAGTTTAATAGATTTGTATTACTAACAAAAGCCATGCGTGAGTTTTACAGGGCTGCGTGAGACACTGCTTGTAGAGAGAAATACGCTCCCTGTTCATCTGTTTTATTTCATTTAATCCGCTCAGCCCAAAGCAGGGGCAGGTGTGGTTGCAAAGTATGTGGCTGCTGTCTCCTAAGTCAGGCTGAGGACTGTGAATCCATCAGTTGATTTCCTTGCCAGACTGCGGGATCCTACGGCGTCAACGAGTGTCACCTTGCTGAGGTACTATTGAACTGTCACCTCACTCGTGTGAGTTCTGCAAATACCCAATATTAAAAGAATGGAGACGTTTAGGAGTTGTCCAAACCACTTTGCAGTCCTCAGTTTGAAGCTGGAGGAGTTCTGCCCTGGGAATTAAGGTGTCCCTTTGCTTGTGTGGCCTTCACAGTTCTGAGGTTAGTCTCTTGCTGCCTTGCAGGCTGCTGATCTTTTGCAGCGTGTGTGGCAGGGGGAAGGGTTTGTGGTTTGTTTTTCTTTTATTTTTTTCTCTTTTACAACTGCTCCTTTATATTGGTCCTGTTCGTTGAGTGTTTGCAATGTGAAGAGATTGGTTTCTTGATACTTGACAGTCACCCGATTGCTCAAGAGGCTTAGTTGTGTTTGTTTGTTCCTGGCTGCGACCTGGTATTGTACCACGCACCGACACGGTTCTGGTTCGGTTGCTGGACTGGCTAAAACGTTGCAGATGACTGTATCTTGGTGGATCTGAAGGCGCGTGGTTGTGTAATAAATTCCCCTTGGTTTAAGCTGGTATCATTGCAGATCAGTGTGCTAACTGTTCACAAATTCTTGGACTTGTGCTGCTCAGCAGTTCCTCGTTGTTAGGAAAACCAGGGTTGGTAGCACCTGAAGAGATCAGGTGTTGAGTGAGTAGAAAACAGAATAAAGTGTATTTTGTGTAGTTTGCATCTTCTGGCTAAATTAGTCAAAGCTAAGGTGTAGGATAGGGGATGAGTCTAAGCTTGTAGAGAATCACTTGTAAAGGACTGGACAGTTGAATATTTTGTTGTTGTTGGGGTTTTTTTGGCCACAGGTGTTACCTTTTTGCTGGGAGAATGTTTGTGCTCTCTCTGTAGCCTTGTCAGGAGTGAGCTGCTGTCGCTGTAATCAGGAGAAACTAGGAACAGTTGCATGGCAGTTAATCATTTCTTTTTATGAGATCAAAATCAGCTGTGTGGCTGCCCTTGTCTCTGGTGTGATAAGCATTTAACTGGAGTTACCCAGGGTTTAGTTTTGTTTCATCTTTGTTTATAAATGTGTTGGGCCAGGGGTTTTGCTTGGCTTCTCTTCTGCTTCGGCTTCTTCAGGTGGAGGTAGCGGCTCCTGCAGGAAGGTTCCAAGGATTTACTCATTCCTTTATGTTTTCGCTCTGAGTAATCCCCGCTTCTGCTCGATGCCGTGTCCAAATACTCTGATCTTAAATGATGTTGTGAGCATCAGGCTAAAGCTTCTGGTCTCTTCAGGGCTGTGGAGGGTGGACTTGTGATTAGTAACTTACTCAGCTTGTGTTTAACTAGAGGTAGGTGAGTCTTGCCTAAGAGCACTAGAGTCCCACTTTGTGACCCTCGGCCTTCCATGTCTGTAGCCCTGTGCTTGGAGGAGTTTGCGAGCAGCTTTTTAAGGCCGGAGGCAGAAAAATATCACTGCGATCTGCGACTGCTTTTCCTGCTCTCATGCAATCAACATGTGGTTGATGCAGCAATTTGAGGCTGGCTCTTTCTTTTTTTTTAAAAAAAAAGCCAGCTCTGCTAGGCTGGCCACGTAAGTCTTCTGTGGCGAGATGTCAGAACACTCAGTGCTGGTTTGTGTGTATGCAGGTTGACCGGTCTCTGGGCTCTCCTAGATACAGGTTTCTGGAAGGAAGTTTGGATTTTCTGTAGTGGGGCAGCTCTAAAATGCTCTCGGCAAGATGAGACCTGGCAGGCTGCTTCAGTGACTCTGGGAGGAAAAGGTTGTGGTCGGGCTTCTAAGAGGCTTTGCAAATGACTTGGCGCTCTGCTTGTCATGTGATGTTCTTGGTAGTTTGAGTGTTGCAAGAGTTGATAGGATGCCTTGGAAGCGTGTTTTTAAACTGCTTTAAGGCATTTGCTGTAAACTGGGAGCGCTGGGACTTCGTAGGCCTTTGTGTAACCCTTAATTGTTCCTGTACGAGAAGAGCAGCCCTAAAGCTCGAGTGCTGTGAGAGTTGTAACCTGGACCGTGGATCTGACTTGGCAGGCCACCTGCTTTGCTGCTTGAAGATATTACTTGCACTTCATAGTATTTCTCCCTGGGAAAAAAAAAAAAAAAATCCTGAACTTCTGTGGAGTAAGTGATTCTCAGTGTTACGAATGGCTGTGCTCAGTCAGACCAAAGGTGGGTCTGGCTCTGTGGTGGGATGCCTGGGGAGGAGTGGAAGAATAGAAGAAACTCCCGATAAACTCTTAGGCACTGGTGAGCAGCTGCTGGGGTGATGTTTATTTAATAGTGATTCTTTTCCTCCATAAACTTGTCAAGTACTTCCTGCACTCATGTGAACTCTCCTCTGCCACGATAACGTGTGGGAACGAGCTTCAGAGGATGCATTGTGTGAAGAACTACTTCCTTCTGCTGGAACCTGTTCTTGAACTTTCTTTTCATTTTTGTATTACAGGTAGTGAGTAATCGCGACTTTCTTCTCTGCTTTCTATTCTTTCTCCTTGGGTGTCTTTGTGCTGAGGAGTTCCTTAGAAAGTGTGTAAGGGGAAAATCCTGTTACCCTTGCTTTTCCATGCTCTGTAACTTCATCTTCAGGTGGACATTGACATTGCCTAATTGACCTTAATAAGCACCACCTGGCCTTAATGTTTAAAGATCATCTCCTCTTAGATATGAAAGAATTTGGGTTCTTTTCTGTAATGCGGACAGGCTTGGTGTTAACGGGCAGTTGGGAGCCTGCAAGCCAGCATACCTGTGGCTGTGGGAGGAAACAAAACCAAGCCTAGCTGTTTGTCACCAATTTGTACCCACATTGTTAGAGGAGCTGGAGCTTGCATGCTTTGGGCTGGGAGGGAGGGGGACAAGGCAGGGGAACAGCTGTTTGCAAACCCCAATCCCTTCACCAGTAGCGAAAGGGGTGGTGTGGGTGCTCTCCGCCTTCCTCCTTCCTAACAGATTTTGTGCAAGCCTGTCAGCTGGATGTAAATCCTGTCATTTAAATCCCTGAGCCGTGTCCACATGAGGTTGGCATCTAGGTGGGAGCGGTGGGTGAATGCTTGGACAGGGTGGGTGAGGACAGGGGAAGTCGTCATCTCGGGAAGAGCAGCAGGTAGATGCAACAAGTTGCCTTTGTTCCGAAAATAGGTCTTGCTGTGAGAAAACACAGGTCTTGCTTGTAAACAAGAAGCAAGCCCTGCAAAGCAGCACGAGGGGCTTCCCCTGTGCCCTCGGTGGAGGCAAAGGGGCACGTATGTGGGTCGGAGGAGCGCCAGCTTTCGGCCGGGAGGAAGTGAAAGCAGCAAATCTGTTCGGGGGAGCTGCTGCCGAGTGCTCTGGTGCTTCCTCCCCCCTTCAGTTATTAATGCCCTTTTGTTGTGTTTCTGGTCTGGAAGAGCAAAGGAGAACAGCTTATCTGGGAACTTGCGTTTGCATGGGGTGAGGCTTTGCTGTGTTCTCCCTTCCCCTTTCCTGGCACTGTGAATTCCCGCAGGTTTTCTAGAGTGCGCTTGGCTGGCTGCTCTGCTCCAAAGCAGTGTCCCTTGAGACCTCTTAATATTCTGCTTCCTGCTTTGCTTGCTGCAGCCCCTTGTCGAACCCATCCTTTGCCTTCTGTTCCCTTCGGCAGCGCTGGCTCTGAATCCCTCAGTGCTCCGAGGTCATTGTAGCTTAGCCGTGGAGTCTATTCTCTGAATAAATCCACGAGTTTATTCTTTTTCCCCTCCAATGTTGAGCTCTTAAACTTGCGGGAGGTTTGGGAGATTACCTGATTGTTGCTGGCCAAGCCTGAATCTGTCAGGCCCAGACAAAGTGAGTCCCAACGGGGTGGGGTAGTGACCGTATCTCAACTTCATGGCTTCGTTAACAGCTCTGCATTCCTCCACCACCTCTTCCACTGTTGCCGTGATCATTTGTGCATCAGTTCACTCGAAAGCATAAGCTCTTCAGGGCAGATCTCTCTGCGCAGTGCTCGGTAGGACCGACCCCTGACAGAGAAGAGATCGATAGGTGACCTCAGTCCGTGCCGGAGGGGTGGAAAGTCTGGCTGGGCATAGCCTGTGTTCAGTCGTTCTGCCTGTGGTCTCGGGATCCTGAAGCTAAACCGCTGCTGCTCTGCTGTTGTGCCTGTTTCTAGAGAGGTCTCCAAGCTACCTGGTTGCACTGAAATAGGTGTGTGCTCTTTCCAGCCAGAATGCAGAAGTTTCTAGACACAAAACAAGGCAGGCGGTATGACGGCAGTCAAGTGCAAGGTGGAAAATAAGATTTTTTTGGGTTTTGCAGGGTCAGAAGTCTTCCTAAGCCTCTTTTCTGCTTATGGATGTACTGGATCAGCCGAGCAGATGTCACGGCTGTGGTCTGACCTGTGGTTTCACATGTTACATCTTGGGTCTGTCGGTAGATTAATGTGATGATACTTACACTTGAGCTGATTGTGTCCCTTTATATGACAGCAGGCATGTTTTTCCAACTCTGGAGACTTTGCAGAAGTCTGGCCCTCGAACACTTGCGCGCTGTGACCTCTCCAGTTTGATACCTATGCGAGAACGTTGGCTTGTAGAAATGGTGTGTTGCTGAGGGTAATCAGTTTGCAAATGTGCTGTCTCGCTTTGAGAGGTGCAGGTTATGTGCTTTTGCAGAAGTCTTGGGACAACATACGCTTAGTGGGTGCCTTGACTGCTAAAAGGGGACGTGTGCGGTGTGACTCGAAGCAAATGGCAGTTTTTCTGCTTCAGTTTGATAGCAATCAGAGCCAGGGCCTCACATCTAAACAGTCGTGTTAGGGATGGTGGGCTTGGTCTGTATAATGAGCTGCTGTTAACATAGCTGCGAGACAGTTACTTCCTTTCTGAACTTGCTGGCTGCGGGCAATTTTTTCAATAACAAGCAAGAAAAAACTTCAGGGTCAGTTGAAGAGCAGAAAGATGTACTAACAGCTAGAAATCTAGGTTGGAAACAAGGTAGGCAGTATTCGTTATGGGATCACTGACTGTAGGACACCATGCAGTTGCAATAAGAACAACGTTTTTCTAGAGATTATTGTAGTCTTGGTGTCATTCTGAAACAACCTAAAAGGGGAAACGAGAAGCTTTCTGATAATGGTAGCCTGTCAAAGTATCGAACAAGCTTATGCCTCCCTCCCATTATCTTGAGGGCTGAGAGAATACTGTTAAAATTATGATGCTTTCTCTGCCGAAGAATGCGAGTCCAATTCACGCTCTGTTTTTATTTCCAGGTAGTGTGAAGTCATGGCTATCCTGTTTGCTGTTGTGGCGAGGGGCACAACCATCCTTGCCAAACATGCCTGGTGCGGAGGAAACTTCCTGGAGGTGACAGAGCAGATCCTGGCAAAAATACCGTCTGAAAACAACAAACTGACCTATTCACATGGGAAGTGAGTAGCGCTTCTCTTTTGGGTATGGGAGGAGAGACTAGTGAACATGCACGAGGACAGGAAAAAATGGATTGTAGCCAAACTAATCTTTGGATGTGTTATGTTGATCAGTGTGCTGATTGAATGTACAGTCAGCTCAACAGCTACTTTTTTTTACCCAGAACTTTGCGGCATAACCAGGATTTGAATTTAGCTTAAGCAGTAAGTACTGAAGCAGCTGATATGAAATCAAGTTTTCTATTTTTATACAACTCCAAAGTGAGTTTGAGGGTGCTCAGCTGTGGATATCAAACTGTTGGAGTCTCTGGTATTTGGATTGTGGAGTCTTTTGCTGGCTTTTCTGAGGCTTGAACGTGGCTTTGGGTAAAACTGTCACCCTTCTCAGATCACTCGTGGATCCTGGTTGCTTTAAGTCATGCTGGCAGATGTTGTAGAGTCATCCTGAGCTACCGCAAATCCAGTCTGTGGGACAGAAGGATTTTTTCCCAGGCTTGTGCAGGTCTCTGAACAGCCCTTGGTCAGTGTTGAGAGAATGGAGGGATTAGATGTTACATCGCCTGAGACTGTGCTGACTTGTTAAAGTAGATAAGTCAGTGTGCTGGTGTGCAAACTAAAGAAAGAGCTATGGAGGAAGCAAGTTTAGAAGAGCTGGACCCCGCTTCAGCTCTGTCTTGGGAACTGACAGTGTGGCTGGGTTCTCAACATTGCGCAAGCTGTTGTGCTAAAGCTGTTTTGGCTGCCTGAGGATTCAAGAGAGAATTGGGGTAGTTTTCCTGCATCTTTCCCTGGCTTGGGAGCACTAAAAGTCCCTGGGGGAGAGCTTTCTGAGGAAGCTGCCTGCCCTGTGGTCTGCAGTACTTTGGATGCTGAATCTTTCCCCCGCTCCCCCCACTGTAATTTTAAGGGTACAGTTATTTTCTTTTGCTTTAACTTTTCCTTGAGTGCTGTTCAACCAACTACAAAGTTGAGTTTTAGGAGTGCCATAGTGCGCTTTTATAGATGAAAACTTGAATTGTGTTAGAGATTGGTTTGCTCTTTGCTAGGGAGCACTGGGAGGTAACTAAGACATCTACACTTGCAAAGGATGCTGCAAAGCGTGCAATCTTTTGCTCGTTACTGACTGTTTCATTAATGAGGATTTAACAAAGGTGGCAGAAGATCACTGCAGTTTGTGGTTGTTCTGCTTTGCATTGTGCTATTAAAACATACAGATGCCATGCTGCAGCTCTGGGCTCTTGGCATCAGAGTGTCTCCTCTACTAAAGAGTCTCTTCTGACAAGTCTTACATTGGCTTATTTTCTGTGATTTGCACAACCACCTCTTTGGTCAGAATCTGCCAACACTGCCTTCCCTCTAGGAGAGGGGAAGGAAGAGTTCCTATCCATCTGTTCGGGGGGAATTTTCACACACGCCTGGAGCTGGCAACTTCTTCCTGCTGTCAAAAAGCAAGGGGTTTGGTTTGTAGAGATACAGAACGGCCTCTTTTTTTTCCTTGACCAGGATAACTGGGCAGAATGTGAAAGCTGTGGAGCTGAGCGAGCACAAGGAGTTGTCGTTCTTCCTTTCTGTAGGGTTTCAGGGATCCTTCTGCCTTGCCAGGGTCCCAGCCTGTAGGCTAGAAAATTACCCTGTTATCTGCCTGTCTAGGTTTGTTTCTGCTCTTCTGAAACAGGAAAAAAGTTGAGTTTCTTTAACTTTGAACTTCTTAAACTCTTTTAACGAGCTCTTTTTGGTTTTAAGAAGAACTTCTGTGTCTCTTATATAATCTCCAAGGAAAACCAGCCCTCTAGCATCAGGAGTTCTTGGGGTTATGCTGTCTCTGCTCTAAAGATTCTCCTACAAGTCACTGGGGAGCCTACAAGGTAGTACCAGACGAGCTTTACCTCTCTCCTTCCAGGAGGGAGGGGCAGTAGTTGCAGATATGCAGGGATTTTTTTTTTTTTTCCATGAGAACAGACCTTCAGGGCAGTAAACTATACTTCTAGCCCACCCCTAAAGCTTATTTCAGTGTCTTCTTGTTTATATAATACAGAACCTGAGTCTGAAAGCTACTGAGCTGTTCCCTTAGGGCTGTGCAAGGCAACTGCTGTGCAGCAAGTGCATTAACTTGCTTTTATTCTGGAGTTTGTAAGAGGGTCCGCATGCTTACTGGGGAAACTTTTGGGAATACACAAATGTCGAAGTGAAAGGATACATAGAGTTTTTCATTAGGAAAAAAAAAAAAGAAGACTATTCATGTGGCCTTTGTGCAACTCTATTCCTATTTTGTCCTGTTGTACTCATCGGAAGCATACATCACCTACTGCAGCACCAAATGGTGGTGAGGGGGCATGTAATAAAAAAGCAACAGCTAAAGCCAGTGAGTTGAACTAGAATGGTCTGATCAGTTCTGGTTTGGGTTTAGTTGTGTATGAACTAAGGGGTTTGTTTTCTGGTGGGCCTAAAATAACAGCTTGGTTTAATTTTGATAGGAAAATATTGCTTTGAGCTGGTTTGCACTGTTTTTCAGGATACTGAGGGTTGCATTTAACTAACATCTGTGTTCGCTCAGCACCACCAAAGGCATCTTTACATGAATAGTTAACCTAGCCACATGATTCGAGCCTGTTTAGCCTGATTATTGTTCTATCTAATTCATTTTCTGCTGTGGTTGCTTTTGTTTCTTGGGCTTTGCAATGAAAACCAAAGGCAGCGCAACCCAGTGGTCATACAAACAAGGCTGAAGAAGCAAGTCACTGTAGCAGCGAGGTTCACCAGAGGGTTATCTCTCTGGTCACTCCAATTAACTGCAGCTCTTCACATGTGAACTAGTGCGTGGATGCTTGTATGTACGTTGATTAGGATTAGACATAAATCTTACGCCGGGTATCCTGTCAAGGTTTTGGGTTTACACGTAAGTAACTGGAAGAACGTGGAACTGGAGTTGGCTGGCAACTAGATGTCCCACAGAGTTACTGCTAAGCACGGAGTGCTGTGAAGTGTGTGAGGCCAGTGATTCTTTAACATGTGGGTGGTTTCTAATTCAGTGTAGCTTATAGGGATGGAGACACTTAGCTCAACAAAGGTGGCTGGGATATGTTGGCATCTGTGTGATTTCCTGTAGAGTAACTGGAATTAGCTCTTCTACTTCTCCAGCCCTTGAAGGCCCCGCAGGCGGTAGTGTCTTCTAGAAGATGAGTCCTGTGGCAGCTCCAAATGACCTTTTATTTTTTTTTTTTTTTTCTTTTTTCTTCTCTGCAGTTATCTGTTTCATTACATCTGCCAGGACAGGATTATATACCTCTGCATCACAGATGATGTAAGTATTTTGGCTGCAGCTATTGCGCAGACAGGCTCTTTGCAGGTTTTGGCTTTTTTTGTATCTGTACGTCAAAGGAAATCAATAGCGGGTGCTAATCTGAGGTGCCTTTTTTTTCCCATTGGAGCTACTGCTTGTGTTCTCATTCACATCTCTTACAGCTTTGAAGTCTAAGCCTGGAACTGAAGTGCATGTGAATAGTTAGTTTTGAGCTTAAGTTCTTGGTTTTGTCTGGTTTCTTTCAGCAGCCCCAGTGCAGCAGAATCTAGATGTAGAGGCTAGCCTTTAATTGTCAGTGAAATGTGCATAATACTACTCCTCAATTCTGGAAGTGTTGAAGCAAAAACTTCTCCCTCGCTGGAAAAAGGTACCAGGCACAGAATTAGAGCTATGGATACCCCAGTAAAGCCTGCTGCCAACCAAACCAATGTCCAGGAAGCTGAGGCTGAAATCTGGCTGCTGCTCAGACCCCAGGATAACCAGTCAAATCCCATAGTGTTACGCGCAACATGCCTGTTAAGAACTGATAATTACAGTTTCCAGTGCCCCGTACGCTTCATTATTCTGGACTTGGCACAGCTCTGGATGTTTTCTGCTCTCTTCCTTCCAGGACTTTGAACGATCCAGAGCCTTCAACTTCCTGAATGAAATCAAGAAGAGGTTTCAGACCACATACGGCTCAAGAGCACAGACAGCCCTTCCCTATGCGATGAACAGCGAGTTCTCAAGTGTCTTAGCTGCGCAGCTGGTGAGATCCGTTGCTGAACGGGGTTTCCCTAACAAGCCAAACTTCTCCCCAGAAATTTTCTGACTCGGAACTGAAGCGCCATGCTGAGTCTGGGTATAAAGCCAGGGGAGTCGGCTGTTCTCCCCACGCTCACGCTGCAGCCGGGTTGCTTTGCTGCTTTGGTGGTAAAAATGGGTGGGGTTAAAGTGATGCATTAACTGTTTGTACCAGGTAGCTGCACTGCAGATTAGATCCTAGTGGTAACGTGAAATGTCAAACCTAGTTCTAGTTGACCATCCAGTGGAAGCTAACATCACTGTCACTAAGAGCAAGACAAACGCCTGTTGCTCCGTTTCTGTTAAACTAAACTTCAGAACTTGAGTATCTAGTAATCCCTAACTGCCTCTCGCTTCTCTCCTCCTTACTTCATGGTAATTTCAGTAGCGCGCTGCTGGAGCGTGACAGGAGATTTGCTTATGTTACTGCATCCTTTTCAGGAGGAAAGAAAAGTGGACTTGGATTACAGTCAAGTGTTGTATACAGAACCATGGTAGACTCTCCAGCTAGCTTGCACAGATGCTCCAAGGATTTCCGTTCCCAAGATAGGTAGGAGGTTAAGGAGCAGGATAAATGACTTGTGAAAGGTCCCACATCCTCTGACCCTTCCAACCCCAAAATTAAAAGTGTGAGGGTTACTACAAAAGCAAGGGGAATATCTGTGTCAGCCTCAACTTGCACTTTTCAGCTGAGGCTGTAGTGGCGTTTAGGACGATGCTGGATTCCAAGTCTAGGGACTGTAGGCACTGTAGTCTTTGCAAGACGAGTTGCTCCACCAGTACGATTCCAGTCTGGAAGGAAGTCGAAGCCCATGTCAGTGGGGTCTGTGCAGGCACTGAACAAGGGACAGAGCACCTTGGCGCGGTGCTGCGAGCTCGGCTGTGGCAAGGAAGGCTGCTGTCGGGGAGCAGCTGCCCGCAGCGTAAGGTTTCTTCTCACCCACCGCTCTCGTGGTTGCCTGGTTCTGGCAGGGCTGTGGTGGCAGCCCTCTCCTGCCGTGTGCGAAGGGAGCAGTCCGTCCTAGCTTTCCCCTGGCAACAGAGCACGTTGCTTTCCGTGGCTGGAACTGGATGGCACTGCTGTCCTGATGTGTTCCGGCTTCTTCTGTCTTGATTTTATCGGCCCCGTTGACAGCTCAACTAAAGCCGAGTTCTGGATGTTGTCATTGGGGCACATACAAAATACTGTCAATCTCCTTTTTAAGAAATTCCCGGGTTTTAGAAGACTATTCTAGCTACGCTGGGTCTGTTCTTGGACTCCTGAAGGGAAAGGTTGAGCTGGAATCTGCTTCCCTCTCGAAGCGCAGAGGAGTTATGTGCTTACTTTGCTTACCGCAGCAGTCTCATACAGCCTGGATGCTACCATCCCATTTTCACAGAAGCACTTTGCTTGCTCTGTATTGTATTTCAGGTGTGGCAAAGCCCGCAGCTGCCAGGCAGGAGAGATTTGAGAGCTGTATCGCTTTATGTATTTTATTCACAGCAGTATATCGGTATAGCTTCTGAAGTATTTAGGTGCACAGCGTAGTGTTTGCATTTTCCTTCAGCCCTCTATAGAACGAGATGCATCTCACAGAGCACTTTTTCTTAATGCAGCCTTGGCTTGATGTGTAACCTGGGTCTGCAAACACCCCCCCTGCCCTGCTTCAGTGGGGATTTTTTTGTGGGGGAGAGGAGAAAAAGCAGAGAGCAGTTGCTGTAGGTGTGGGATTGGGCTGCTCTTAAAATATGAGCTGCTAATGTAGCGGGAATGTTGCAGTTCACACTTCTCCCTGGTGTTTGGTCTGCAGGGGTATACTTCCCGCACCTGCGGAGAAAACGGGCCTGGGGAAAGCACAGACCTGTTGCTAGATGTAATGTCAAATGAAATGAATGAAGTCAGATGGAAAATAGAGAAGGAATAAATAACTGCCCTGTGACTCATGATCAATAGCCTTATTATTGCACTAAACCTCAGGCTGTATGGTCTACAAGACAAGTGTTTCGAATGTTCTGTTGAAGAGTCCTTAATTGATTACCTACACGTCATAACCTGAGCAATGTTTTGGGGTTGGTTTTTTTTTTTTTTTTTTGTTTGACACCTCCCTTGAATTAAAGATTAGATGTCCTTGGAATATTGGCTTTCAGGGCTCGTACACAATCTGTATCTGGGGCAACTACAACTGGTGCTGTACACGTGGTGTAGGAGGTTCTCAATTTGCTCTGCTGTGGCTGGTGAGCGCGGTGTGTGGGAGTGGGACCACTGAGAGTAGCCCAGGCATTTACTGAACCGTATCTCACAGATTCTGGTCTTAACTTCCCTTCCTTGCTGCCAGTCGCTTAGACTTTCGAAGGGGGCTGTTATTTCTGGGCTCCCTGGAAGTTGCAGGCACCTGGCTGCCCTGCAGCTCCTGCAGTGCAGGAGCAGATGGGCGCATGTGATCTGCAAGTGGCTGAGAAACTCAGATTTGGGTCTGCTACCCCCTTACAAATGTCGCAGGTAATTTGAAAACTGGCATTTATGTCTGTGCTGTTCTGTAGTGACCCGGAGTTTCCTTTTTTGTCTTAAGGAACTGAAGCGCAACGTTGAGGGTCCCTGCTTTCACTGACTATTCGTTTGTTACAGAAATACCACTCGGAGAGCAAGGGCACTGACCAGGTGGCAGAGACGCAAGCTCAAATCGATGAACTTAAAGGAATCATGGTTCGAAACATAGGTACCTGGCTTCCCTCAGTGCCACGCGTGCAGAGTTCCTCCGGGCCAGCACAGCAGTCCCGCAGGGAGTTATCGAGAGTGAAGCTGATGGTGGGGTGGCCTCTTTTGACAGGACGAGCTGATGAAGAAGGGGCTGGAGGAGCTCTGAGTTTGCAAGCTGTTACTTGGCATTGAACTTGGTTTGAGGGTGGCACGTGGGCGTGAGGAACGCTGTTTGAGATGAACTTGCACGGCTCGTGATGGGGTGAAGCACGCTCTGGATTTGGTCTCTTTGTCACTGTGGCTTTCCTGCCGCTGCTGTGAGGAAAATCCTCCTCGGTAGCTTACTTTTTATTTGTTGTGCATGTGTCAGACTCTGGTTTGGGTTTTGACAGATCTGACCACTTAAAATAGAGGGTTAGATCTGGAATTGGCCAAAATTGAGTCAGGTCAGTCCCAAAACGTAGCCTGTGTGACGTGAGGCTGTTCCTTAAGTACTGTTGCCTGGCAATCTCTGAAAGGCTGAGAACTACTTGATGTCTAATAACCCACTGCCAAGAGCTCCTGGCTTGCAGCTGAGCTTGGGTATTGGAAGCAGCTTTTTGCCCTGGGATTCTACCTACAGATTTGGATTTTTGTCTCTTTCTCCAGACCTGGTGGCACAAAGGGGAGAGAAGCTGGAGTTGCTGATCGATAAAACAGAGAATCTTGTGGATTCGGTAAGTCTGGGGAAGAACTTAAAAGTGGGGAAATAGTGTTACTGCATCAATTGTGCTCCTCGGGGAGCAGTGGAGCTGAAGAATGGCATCTAGAGCCACTTTTAAACAGACACTGAAGCAGCTAGATTTACAGGTAATCCTTCCCTGTGTCAGACACAAGCCCTGCCTTATTTTTCCCCCCCTCCTTAAAGCTGTTTCACAAGGTGCATCCCAGCCTTGCAGCTCCTTTTAGAGAATGAAGGTGTCCCGTGCATCTCTGCTCTGGATCCTGCCAGTACCGCTGGGATTTGTTGGGCGACTGCTCAATACCAGGCTGCGCTGCTGGCCAAGGACCGGCTGCGCCATCCTGTTACAGAACCATCGTCAACTTGCTCCTCTTTGCTACAACCAGTGCACAGGCTGACACGCTGCCAGCACGAGCGGTGGTGTTTCTTGTCCTCGTCTCTTGTGCCAGAGGCGGGGGAAAACCCACTCTTTATCTGGAGCGATAGGAAAGCTAAAGACCGTAATTAAAACTTCTCTTGCAGCCTGGTCTGAAGTCAGCCTGATGCAGATAAACTGGAAATACGTTAATCTGTAGGGCTGTTCTAGTATACCAACAGGGAAAGTGTAGCTGGTTTTAAAAAAAAAAAAACCTGAGTTGTTCCACCTAAATAGTCTGTAAAAGACTCTGGAGCTTTGTGGAGTGTTTCTAAGTGAGAGAAGACTGAAAATCCCAAAATTTAACATAATTATAAAGCATTCAGTTACCTAGTAAAGTGTCGTACGCTCTGGAAGCTTTTTTGTCTTTCATCTGGGAATCCCTAGACCTGGCTCAGCACTTTCCTCTGCAGAGTCCTGGCTTGGTGCCCAATTCCTTGGGCACCTGACCCTCAGAAGGCAATCCTGAACCCAGCGGAGAGCCAGTGTCTCCTGTGTGGGGCTTCTGGAGATCCAAACACCTCTAAGCTGGCAAAAAGTACTCACGCTTTAGAGAGGTAGTAGCGATTCCTGGAGCTTTCCCAGTAGGGAACACTGTCCTGCAGCTATCAGGTGTTTAAACCTTACCACTTCCTCAGGTGGTGGTAAGAAGTAGTCTAACTTTGGGTAATGCTTGAGACAAATGGACTGGAATTCCTTCAGGAATTAGGCTGAATTCATGTAGGAGGTCTCCCAGGGAGTGTTGGTTCTGGGAAACCATGCAGAAAATGAAGGAGTGGGATATGCCTCCAGTGTGAACGTCTTGCAGCCCAGTGGTGAGCATCCTAGGAGATCCAGGGCTGATGTTCTCAGACTTCAGAGTGATGGACTGTGTTTTCTCACTCCTGTATGTATGAGCCTTGACCACCAGAATATTGTGCATAAACCAAACGTGTTGGACCCCTCCTAGCAACAGTGGCAAGGGCCCCTTTTGGGAGGGAGGTCTGCAGGAGGTGGTGGTCAGAGTAGCCCTGTCCTCTGGAGAACTAGGCTGGGCTGGGACGAGCTCTGCTGGTACCCAGCAGTCTGCTTCCACGCGTCGAAACCGCATGGCTGAGCAAGAGAAGCGCTCCTGAAGTTCAGATGGTGGCTGAGCATGGGGAATCGGCTTTAAGTCAAAATGACAGTTCGCCGGGAGGCAGTTCTGGCCTGGTGTAGCCTTGCCTTAAGAAAGTTGGGGGGTGGTTTGTGGGGAAAACCTGAAAATAGCCAGCAGAGTGTGCTGCTGAGTTGGCTGCTCTGGGTGCCGCAGCCTTGCTCTGGGCAGGCGTAGCCTTGCGGGAGCTCTGCAAGGAAAGCGGGTGAGAACAGTTGTGCTAATGCAGCCTGTGGTGGGTGCTTCAGGTCATTTGGTGACCGAAACCTGTTTTGAATGGGTGGAATTGCAGGATACAGAGAGGAGACTTGTAACAGAGCGACCACAAGCTTTGCATAAAACGCAGGAAAGTTCTAGCATTAAAGGACTTGTCTAGCCCCTGTGGAACTGCTGTCAAGAGCAGCACCATGGGTTGTCTCATTGGAGCAGGTGTGTTTGCAATAATGAAGTTGCATGTAATGTGTTGGTGATTAGATCGGTAGTTCCATAAATATTTTGGAGCACTTCAGCTCCCAAAAGGTTGGAAATCAAATGAGAACCCAACCAAAAGTACTCTAAGGTAAAGCAGTCCTCGTGGGCAGCCTACGGACCCCGTGATACTCTGTGTGTAATTCTCCCAAGCTGAGCGTGGGCCAGTACAACCCCGAGCTGGTTCTGGGCTCACATGCACGCTCGATCTTGCCCCTAAAGGAGCGTGGGCGAGTTTTCTCTGCCTCTGGAGTGTTGTATTAGTGTGACTGCAGGAGTGCACTGGCTCTGGAGGAGATAACTGCAGCGGTTTGGGTTATTGGGGAGGTAGTAGCTGGGAAAAGCCTCTTCATCTAGCTTTTTGTGTTCAAAAAACGGGCAGACGTGGCACTTGGGGACATGGTTTAGTGGGCATGGGGGTGTCGGGGTGATGGTTGGACTGATGATCTTAGAGGGCCTTTCCAGCCTTACTGATTCCTGGTTTTACTTTCATTAAAAAATAATGCAGCCACCAAGCCAGGAAACATGAAATTATTCCTCTGCCCTTAATTGGTTCAGTGGTGGGCTTGGCAGTGATAGGCTAACGGTTGGCTTGGATGATCTTAAAGGGCTTTTCCAACCTAAACGATTCTGTGATTCTTGGGATGCAGCTTCCTTTGCAGCAGCTTCAGGAATTAATTAGTTGTTTTATTCTCTCTTGTAGTCAGTCACTTTCAAAACTACCAGCAGGAACCTCGCTAGAGCCATGTGTATGAAGAACCTCAAGCTTACCATCGTCATCATCATTGTATCACTTGTAAGTATGGAGCACAATAACCTTTAGCTCTTAAGTCAGGCTTAACTACTGGAAAATTCCAATAGCCTGTTAGTGTCTTTAGACCCACATGTACTCAGCTCTGTGCCTGGAAGGGTCTTAGTGGCGAAACAAGTGTTTTGATGGTCTTGTGGGAGGTGAGGAGAGAGGAGCATCGTGCCGGGCAGCTGCTCTTGTCAAGGCAATAGGAAAAGCTTCCCAGGCAGCACTGGCTGGCTCCGAAGTGCCCGTCTTAGCTGCCTTGCTAGCTCCATTAGAAGCTACGCTATTGAGTTTATGGCTACTCTATCTGTAATGGCTTTCTAGGCCTTAGTCCTGTTGGTATCTTGTTACTTAACTTCAAAGTAGCTTTTTTCCACTGTGACGGTGTACCTCCAGCCCATAATAAATGCCAACCGTGCAAACGTGGGGATGCTGAGGGTTAATTGCAGGTTAGATGTGTCTTTGTTGCCGCTGAACCCTCGTTCGTGTTTCGCTGGGGGACAGTTCTCCTCCCCATGTTGCTGTGAGGGCGTGGAGGAAGAGGCGCTGGCGCAAAGTCCTGCAGGGCTTTTGACAAGTTCATTAGGGTCTGGATAACCTGGGGTTTCCGGGCTTGTGTTTTGCTTGCCAGGCCGTCAGCAGCTGACTGAGTGATGGAGGCACAGTTCCGTACTGAAGTGGCTGTTCTCTTCCTCCAGGTTATCATCTATATCATTCTATCGGCGATCTGTGGTGGGCTTGCGTGGCCGAGCTGCGTGCAGAAGTAACTGGAGGCAGCTGGTGCTGGTCATCTGGAGATGAGAATCACAGGAGGGTGAAGAAGCAACCTACGGAATAACTCTTAATCTCTCACTACTGACACCTTCTCATTCTTCCATCCCTCCAGGACTTCAGACTTTTTTGCCTTATCCCCCCGAACAGGCCCAGCTGGTCACTGCTTCCATGCAGCTGTAACCTCAAGAATGGGCTGTTTTAAATTACTTGAAGGGATTTTTTTGTTTCTTTTCTTGTCCCAACTACAACCTTCTCAGCTGGGTGGGCGGTACGTCCGGCGCTGGAGGGTTATGTGCATGCTCGCCCGTGTGTCCCGTGTAGCTTTGCACTTTCATGTGAGTGTGGAAGTGGAGAGCAGTACCGCTGGCAGCTGTCCGACCCATGAGGGGGGTGCTGGTGGGTCAGGAGGGGCTGAGCCAAACTAACGGGGAGGGACAAGACGGGTTTATGTGAATTTCTACTTTCTACAAATACTGGAGATCCAGGTGCCTCTCCCTGCACGTCTGGCCTCGCGTGGTTCTGTAGCGTTTCAGCACAGAGGTTGCAAGTGTAATACTGGTAGTAAGAAAAAGAATGGCTTTTGGGCTAGGGCTTTATGCATTGTAGGATGTATGAAGTCTCCCTTTTCCTGGAAGTCGTTCTGCAGGTGGTAGGAGAGGGTGTTGGGTCACCTCAGTGTTTTGAAATGGCTGCCTCTTCATCCTCACTTCTTCCTCATCTTCCCCCCCCTTAATTTGTGGCTAAATCAATACAGTAAAGGAGGTGGTTGCATATAGTTAAGGTTGCAGCAATGTATCTGCTTTCTCACGTCATTTCTCCTGTTCTTGTTTTGAGGGTGGACTAAAATGAATACTGATGTTGTCACTTGCTAAGGTGAAACTGGGGGCCAATCTGTTGATCTGGCTGGATAAGGCGTCGGTGTCTGCTGCTTGTGCTTCTACTCTGAAGGCGTGCGCTAAAAACCGAGGACAGAGAAGGGGCGGAAGGTTGGAGTTCTCTATGGTGTGAAGAAGAAAGGCTCTTTCAGAGGATGTAGTAAGTTGTATGCCTCTGAAAGGAGGGGAAAAAACTAAAAAAAAAAAAAACCACAAACCAAACCCAAACCCGAGGCTAATAACCAAACGTAGGATCAGGCGTGCCGATGAGGTGCTGCTCTGAGGACAGGGGCTGCTTCGCCTGCTGTCGGAAGCTGCGATCGCCACGCTTCTGGCCCAGCCGGACATCGGAATCGCCCGCCCGGGCCCGGCTGCCGGGAGCCCCGGCTGTTGTTGCCCGGGGTGAGGTGCGTAGGGGCTTCTGTCTCCTATCTTCCAGGCTTGTTGCCAAGAGGTGAAATAGAAACAACTGAAATCTCATAAAAGTAGCGGATGGTCCACAAAGGAAGCCGCATCTTTTCGGCCCAGTGGCTTCGGGAAGTGGCTTCTAACGGGGGGTGGAAGCTGTCGAGGTAGGGGCAGGGGAGGCTGAATTTGGTGACTGAATCGGAGCACTTGGTTGGTGCCGTGTGTTCCCCGCGCCCTGCAACGCAAGCTTGCCACGGGTAGGGCAACAACGCGGGACTGCTGCTCCGCGCGCTTTGCTTGTAGGTTACACCGGCCTCGGAGCTTCCCAGCAGCTGCCGGATAAAGCGTTCGCCTATAAACTTGTGCGCTTGCTTGGATTTGTCTTCTCCTCGGCTGAAAGGTAACGAAGGGCAATTGGCTCTTGCTGTCCAGAAAGTGTCGGTGGCTCTGAGCAGTGCTGTGGGCGCTGGCATCTGTTTCTGTTTGCGTTAATCGAACGTAAAGCTTGAGAGAGGTTTCCTTCCTCTTCCCTCCTGCTCTTCCCGCCACCTGCGGTTCGGTGTACAATTGTGCATGTTTTAGGGATCGTTGACGTTGCTGTGTTCATTTCTATGATTTGTTGTCTTACGTACAAATACTTTTTAAAGAAAATCCTTTCCTTTTAAAGGACGCACTGAGGCATTAGTGTAAAAACAAAGTTAAACTTGATTTAAATAAAATTGCTGTACAGAAGGCGGAGTTCTTTAGTTTTGTGGAAGGCGGGTCTGGCGCTAGATGTAGGGTCTTGGTAGGAACTACGCTGTGAAACCAGCGAGTAATGCCGCAGCCCGGAGGGAGAGTTTCCACGCTGGCTGCGTGAAACCTCTCGGCTTTGGAAGGATTTTTGACTTTGCGTTGATGCGGGAGCTTATTCCTGGTGGTGGGAAGAATCTGCGTCTCCCTCTTGCGAACTCGTGAGAGCGCTGGGGGGGACGCGGTGCCCGCTTGCGCGGAGCACGTGTGGGCGGAGAGAATACAAAAGGCAGCGCGACGACTCAGCGGAGCGGCGTTATTACGTGGAAGCGAAATGAAAGGCTGTGTGAAAACTGGTTTTAAGGCAATTTTTCAGTGATGTAAAACCCCTGTCTTGAGGGAAGCCCCTCGGATGCCTTCCCTCTGCTCTCCTCTTAGCCGGGAAGAACCCGCTTCTGGAGGAGTTTAGCATACAGAGCCGCTTGCCGTCTGGCGCCGGAGCCTCTGTACGAACGCTCTCGCCTTTCCTCTACCTCAGCTGCGGTGGGAGGTGTTGGAAGCAGGCTCAGGCGTATGAGGGAGGTGGATTTCCTCTTAACTCGCAGAAGCTGTCTGAGTTCAGTCCATTGTTGTCTTGGTTTGAGGCAAAGCTGCATTCCAATGATAGCTGCTAGGGCACGATATAAAAAAATGTGAAAGGAGGTCACTTGGTACAAGAACGGCTTAGAAAAATGAAGGGATAACAGACATCTTAGTGCGGTAGTTCTTACAGAGCTGGGTTTTGTGCTCCACGTTCCTGCTGCGGTGGCCCTCTCCCAAGGTGGGACAGCCATCTTCAAGCGCTTGGCACTATTGGATTTGTATTTAAAAAATGCCCAGGAATTCCAGCGGAAGCTACCCTCGGCTTAAGGCCCTGGTCAACTGTTTCGCTTACTTCTCTTTTTAGGCTCTGGTCTGTCTAGAAATGTGTATCCACAGCTGTATCTCTCTGCTTCACAGAAACAGTATCATCACATGCCTGAGAAGCTCTAACTGAAATATAACCTTAAACTATTTAAACATTTTCCAGGAAGTTTTTGTTCCTTGCCTAATATTAACTATCTGTTAAGTAGCCACTAAATAGCAGCAGCTCTTGGCTTAGGAGGCTGCAGAGAAATGCACTGCCTGGAAAACGCGGGCACGCTCTTACCTTTGGAATAAAGGCAGAAGGAGAACTCTCAAACAACAGAAATGGAACTGCGGTGTCGCTGGTCTTTTATCTTTCTCTGCGCTGGGAAGGTAAATAAGTTCAGATTCTAGCTTTTTGGTTTTTCCTTTTATTAGAAAAGAACCTTCTCCATAAAGGAAAAGCCATAGGGGACAGCACTGTAAGCCTGCAGAGCTGTGTTGGGGGCAGCGAGCGGCCGAGTTGCATACAACCGGTTGTGCCGAGCTTCTCGCACGTGGAAGGGAGGTGGGTGTACTCGAGAAGGAGCAATAGCCCCAGCTCAGGCTGTATCGGCTGACAGGAGCCTGCCTTTTCGCCCTCTCAGCGAGGTGGAACCGGCTCCGAGATTTACAAGGCTGCTCTGAAGTGCAAAAGGGTTATTTCAACTTCAGGAAAATAAGGGTGTACAGCTCTAGCTTAAGAAGTTTATAGTAAACCGTCGGTATTTGTTAGAATGAGCAAATGGAACACAAGCGGGAAACCCTCGCTGCTTTTCAGCACGTAGCCTCCAGCTGCCTCTCTCGAGAGGTGACAAACGCAGCCTGGGCCTCGAAGCTTCCGCGCCTGGCGCTGAGAAGCCCCCAGCAGCAGTCCCTAGGGGAAAGGATGGGGTGATACAGGACCGAATCTGAAACAGCAATTTGAGACCAGCTGTCTCTTCCCCCCCTTTTTTTTTTTTTCCTTTCTAAAGCAAACTTGGTGCACCAAGTGATCTCTGCCATAAAGCATCCTGCGGGGCTCCTAGGTGTGGTGGTTCCTGTGTTTTGTTCTGCTTAGGCCACCTGTGGATGTTCTCCTAGAAAAGGCATGAACAGAGTGCTGGGAATTAAGGTTTCCTTTGCTAAAACCCACCTCGTTCTTCCAAAATCCAAGGCGATTGAAGGTAAATACCAGTACTTGCATCGTAGGCGACTTCCTCTGGGGACCGCTTTACCTCTGCGGAGCTTCAAGAGCTGAAGTGCAGAGGCAGACTTCGGCACGGCGGGGCCTGTCCTGAAAAGCTTCATTCCAAGCACAAAAAACCACTCACAAGTCAGGCTCACTGTTTGACTAAAGCAGCTCTATTTCAGCACCATAACATTTTATTAAACTACACTATCAAAATCACATTGATGGCAGGGAGAACATTGCTGTCAGTGCATATTTTCTGTACTAAGACTGCATTTGTAGCACCCAGCGCTTGCTGAGGAAAAGGACACCGAAACAGAATCCTTCATAGGCAAAGAGACAGTAGAAAACTCTTCTACAAAATCGGGGCAGTGAGGGGCGAGCTGAAACAGATCAAAGGGGAAACACTTCAAGTCAAATCAGTCCGGGAGGGTTCTTTTTTAAAAAGTAAACTTTTTAACCGGTTCGAACTTCCTCATCTGGGATATGAGGATGCTGATAAACAGTTTTTAAATAGCATCCCCTGTCCTGCCACTGCCTGTTCACAAACCCACACAAATATTGTGTACTGCTCCTTCACTTGTGAACTGTGACGCACACACTTGAATACAACAGCTTGAAGTGTACTACAGTTATAAAAACCTGCTTCATCTTCTAGAACAAACAATAAAAAGTAGCAGAAATACATTCTATACAGAAGTAAAAAAAAAAAAAAAACAAAAAACACAAACCCCAAACGGTTGAGTTTCAGACAAATATTAGAGTACATCAGTTTGAGCTTAAAAAGTCTTACTTCTAACACCTATGTAACTATTTCTAGCCTCCCCGGGCCGCTGCTGTGCAACACGCAGCAGCTCAGCGCCGCTGCCTGGTGCAAAACAGGACAACCAGCGAGCAGCCTTGGGAGCAGGTCACCTCGGAAGTTTTTTTTTTTTAATGACAAGCCTTCCTGAGGGCTGCAAGTAGAGGTTTACGTGAAATAAGGCTATTTTCAGTCTTCAGGTGAAGACTCATATTTCAGTCGTGTTTTGACCAGTGGAGACACAGTAAAGCAGTTGTTGTTCCACCGCTGAGAGCTCTGACGAGCAGAAGGTAAGGAGAGTTGGCGTTCAAGAGGAGAGGAACTGTACACCGTGCTCCGCCCGGTGATGGCTCTCTCGTTTCATTTTCAAAGAGCGTTCTCATGCCCAGCCAGCTGGGGTCTGCGTCACAGGGGTGTTTGGCAGTGCAGCAGCATCCCGGGCCGTCAGTAACACCCGTCCTTCCAGGAATCGTCCTCAGCGCTCTGTGCTGACTGAAGAAATCTGGTGTGAGAGACAACAAAAAAAGGTCACTAACAGCTACAAGGAGCAAAGCCCCCAGTAATCTGCTGGCGCACACCAGAAT